GATGACCTAAAGTGATGTAACTGTGTGTGTGTGTGTGTGTGTGTGTGTGTGTGTGTGTGTGTTTGCCTCTCAGTAATATGATGCAATGTGTTCAGATCACAGCAGTGTCCACAGAATCTCCGGACTACAGCCAGTGTATAGAGCTAATTATGACCCAGTGGTCACAGTAGGTCTCGGGGGGGGGCGCTCTGTTGTCACAAACACAACACACACTCACCTGAGCTGCTGAGTAGCTGAGGTGATTATCTCAGTAATTGGTCCAAGGTTGTAAACAGCTCGGTTTCTCCTTAGTCCTCTGAGGAGTGAAACTTTGGCCTGTTAGCAAACACATTAACAACAACTTTATAAGATCAGGGGTCCCGCCGACTGCTCTCCTGCCGAGGGTCCTGCCAACCCTATGTCCTGTCCCGTTGGGGGTCCCGCCGACTACTCTTCTGCCCGGGGTCCCTGCCAACCCTATGTCCTGTGCCGATGGAGGTTCCGCTGGGGGTCCTGCCGTCTCCGTGTCCTGTCCCGCTGGAGGTCCCGCCGACTACTCTCCTGCCGGGGGTCCTGCCAATCCCGTGTCCTTTCCCGTTGGGGGTCCCGCCGACTGCTCTCCGGCCGGGGGTCCTGCCAACCCTATGTCCTGTCCCGTTGGTGGTCCCGCCGACTGCTCTCCTGCCGGGGGTCCTGCCAGCCCTGTGTCCTGTCCCGTTGGGGGTCCCGCCGACTGCTCTTCTGCCGGGGGTCCTGCCAACTCTATGTCCCGTGCCATTGGAGGTTCCGTTGGGGGTCCCGCCGTCTGCTCTTCTGCCGGGGGTCCTGCCAACGCTATGTCCTGTTCCGTTGGGGGTCCCGCGGACTACTCTTCTGCCGGGGGTCCTGCCAACCCTATGTCCTGTGCCGATGGAGGTTCCGCTGGGGGTCCTGCCGNATGGAACGGACCATCGTAAGGGGGCCGCAGGAGAGGGCAAGGGCATCCCCGGGAAAGTTAGGAGGCCGAGCATGAAGGCGATGACCGCGGCCGGGAAAGTCACAGGGCCGAGCATGAGGGCGAGGACCGCGGCCGGGAAAGTCACGGGGCCGAGCATGAGGGCGAGGACCGCGGCCGGGAAAGTCAGGAGGCCGGGCTCAAGGGCGAAGACCGCGACTCTCAGGGGGCCGGGCTCGAGGGCGAAGACCAGACAGCTCCAGAAGCCGAGCAGAGCCCGGTGTCGGCCGAACAGGAATCCGGTGGGATAGGCCTCGGCAGGATCCCCAACGGAAGAGGACCAGGTGTTGGTAGGACCCACGGCAGGACAGGTGATGGCGGGGCCTCCAATGGCACGGGACATAGAGTTGGCAGGACCCCCGGCAGAAGAGCAGTCGGCGGGACCCCCAACGGGACAGGACACGGAGCCGGCAGGACCCCCAGCGGAACCNACTGTGGCTCTCAGGGGGCCGGGCTCAAGGGCGAAGACCGCGACTCTCAGGGGGCCGGGCTCGAGGGCGAAGACCAGACAGCTCCAGAGGCCGAGCAGACTCTGCTCGGCCTCTGGAGCTGTCTGGTCTTCGCCCTCGAGCCCGGCCCCCTGAGAGTCGCGGTCTTCGCCCTTGAGCCCGGCCCCCTGAGAGCCACAGTCTTCGCCCTCAATCCCGGCCCCCTGAGAGCCACAGTCTTCGCCCTCGATCGCGGCCCTCTGTGAGCCGTAGTCTTCGCCATCGAGCACGGCCTCCTGAGAGTCGCAGTCTTCGCCCTCAATCCCGGCCCTCTGTGAGCCGCGGCCGTCCGCCCGAGTCCCCCTTTTTGAACCCTGCCTTGCCCCCGGGCCGTCCGCCTGAATCCCCCTTTTTGAACTCTGCCTTGCCCCCGGGCCGGCCGCCCGAGATCCCTTCCTGGTCCTCTGCTGTGCCCCTGGGCGGTCAGCTCAGTTCCGTCCTCCTGACCCCCTCCACCCACCCTGGTGGCCTAGTGATGGCCCTTTTTAATCTTCCAACATTTACAGACAGACTGAGGTACTGGTACATTCAAGCTCTCTCCTCTAGTTTCATTGATATCACTCCTTTGCCATGCAGTATACATACATAGCCATATGTGTTTCCTGTGATATTACAGTCTGTGGGCATGCTTGGGTCCATGGCAGAGATAAGTGAACGATTCTGGTGGTCATAAAGCGAATGGTCCAACCTGTGTAACGTCAGCAACAGAAAGTCTCCCAGGACCAAAGCCACACAGCTGGGGTTGCACTGGTAAAATGTTAGCTAAATGATAGCTGAAGCATAGTCCATCTTCCAGCCTCCTGCAGTTGTTTTCTACATTGGATTGAATCCAAACACTTTTTTTTTTTCAATTAGTGAACCAATTTCTTATCAAACAGTAATTTTGTCACTTTAACATTTGCATATTCATTTGTATTAAAAGATATTCAGATAGTCAGGCTAGCAGCGCGGCTCTTGGGATTGCAGGTTGTTTGGCCAGTTGGTCAACCCCTTTATTTAAGACTGAAATAAGGTATTGTTATCAATTGGATTCATTGTGATTATGTAGATAAATGTATGTTCCCCAAAACCTCAAACCAACTAGCTGAAGATATCTAGACGAAGAAGTCAGTTATTTCAGAACATTTTATTTGTTAATGTTTCACTTTTCATACTATTTTTATGTCTTTTAATATTATTCCTTATTCCATCTTGTATTTATCTCGAGCTTGCTCTTTTTCTTGACTTTATTTGATGTGTAAGGACTATGTGAAGATACATAAGTAGCCTATGTCTGTTACTTTCAGATACATTATAAGTGGTTAAGGAGCACCAGCTAATGGCTAATGGCTTCGCAGCAACAGGAAGCCCACAACTCACTGAAGAGAGGGCACTCTCAGAAGAGAATGCTTTTTACAACACCACAAAAAGCTTATTAAAGGATTTTAGATGTTAGAGGCACATTGTCTTCTGTTTTGCCCTTTTAGTTGGGAACTTCCTTCATCTTTTCACCACGAGTATGAGGGTTCAAGGCAATGCTTCCAGGCATATAGATCAATTTTTGTCTGCCATTGTATTATTGCATGAATGTCCATTGTTTGAAAAAGTAGCATTTGTTGATTGATTGGAAGGCATGTATTTTATGACACACATTCCATTTGCTTGTTTGTATAAAGGATAATACAGTTACTCACTGTCGAAAAGTAACTAAGTACACTTACTCAAGTATTGTACCTAAGTACAGTTTTGAGGTACTTGTACTTTACTTGAGTATTTCCACTTTTACTCAAAACATTTTGAATGCCAGGCTTTTACTTGACACAGAGTCAACACTGTGGTATTATTATTTTTCACTTAAATAAATATCTGAGTACTTCTTTCCCCACTGCATTTACTGTATCGTTAAAGGTTTTATTTTTAGTATTATTATTTATTCATGTTTTTTTCAGTTTGAGCACAGGAAACGAATATGCAACAGTAATCTGAGATAGCAAAATGACACAGGGTGCAGTAACATTATGTCCTTTTGATATTTTAAATTCCAAAGTCTGCCCCTTATAGTGGTTGTGTCCAGAAACATGCTGATTTATATATTATATATATATATTTAATCCTCTGGAGCAGAGAGAGAAGCTGATGATTATTGTTACTTGTCGAATGCACTTGTAAGTCGCTTTGGATAAAAGCGTCAGCTAAATGCAATGTAATGTTATTGATTAATGCATCAGTGTTTCTTAGGGTCAAACACACTAAACTCACAACTTAAAATGAAAGTGTTTAGTTTATTTAATAAAAGAGCACATGTTCAATGTGAAAAGTGACCGTAGATAGATTACTTCAGTTGCAATTTGGTGATATATATATAAAAGAAAATTAAAAAGACACCTTGAATATCAGGTGGGGCGTGGGGCTCCGTTGGCAGTGTAGGGGAAACACTGAAGGTGATAAGATGGGGGGGTACCTTGGTTGGTTATTGGCTAATGGATACACAAGCCAAAAAAATCGTTATGACATCATAAAGTGGCCAAAATCTGATCAGCTCATTTTCAGACAGGTTTTTATATAAATGAATCAGGACAAAAAGTGAGCAAATAAAAAAAAAATTAACTTTCAGAATCTCTTTACACAGAGGGGACACATGTTTATGTATAAAATACATGAAAAAGTGGATTTTTCATAATATTTGACCTTTAAAGACGTTTTTTTTGTATTGCTAGGTCCATTAATCTGAATCCATAATGTTATAGCTGTGGTAAGAAGTAATGTTTCCCTGTTTCACAACTCCTAACTGTCCATGTGTCCATTCTTGTTGCAGGGTATGGGGAGATCTATCCAGTCACCTTGAAAGGTAAAGTTGTGTGTGTGCTGTATGCCATGGTGGGCGTTCCCCTCATGCTTCTGGTCACCCTTGATGTGGGCGACTTCCTCGCCATTCTGATGTCCAGAGCTTATGTGCGCATTCACGCCCTCTTCAAAATCCTCCGCTCCCACTCATGGTCACCTTGGAAGGCTCGGAAAAAGAGGGAAGAGGTCTCAAGCAACCTGGCCCTGGAGGAAGGTACTTTTTTTTTTAGCCAGGACATTGTTGTCCGTGAACCCCTTGACATTCGCCAGGTGCTGCACAGCCAGGCGGACGTACGGCACAAGTCCATACACCTAGAAAACAACAAAGAGATCTTTGAGAAAATTCTCGCTAGGGAGAAATTACTGAGAAAGGGCCCACTGCTCCGAACCCTCTCCTGCCCAGAGCTAGACCGGCTGCCCCCCCCACCCAGAGGATATGCCATATGGGACTTTACAGGGTTGGGGAATGGAATGGAAAAGCTGGATGTACCCTTTGTCCTGATTCTTTTCATTGTATTTGCCTACATTTGCTTAGGTGGTTTGATTCTGCCCTTGTGGGAAGCAGAGATGAAGGGCTTTGATCCCTACTACTTCTGCTTCATCACACTCACTACTATTGGTTTTGGCGATATTATGCCTAAGCACCCTAAATACTTCATGCTTACCTCACTCTTCCTCATTGGCGGCATGGCCATCATGTCCATGGCTTTCAAGCTAGGCCAAACACGAATTGTAAGCTGCTACCGCCAATGCATCAAGTTCATCAGCAGGGGAAATGTAGAGTTATTCAAAAATGAACAGGGTCACTAAGTAAGCAAGTGAATCTCAGCCTCATCCAAGAACTGTACAACCTCAAAGGCCTGGTTTTGACACAGGTCCAGACAGGAGACTGTGGGAACTTGTTCAGAGCATTCTTTGTGCTAGCTGTTTGGTTATAAGCATGAGCAAAATAATAAAAGTGAGCATGTGCCAAATGCTTTTGCCTATTGAAGAAGGGTGATATTTAAAAATGATTCATATGAAGAATCTATAGAGCTATACTGTTGATCAGAGGCGTGGACTAGAGTCACATGACTTGACAGTAGGTCAAGTATACTATTAACAGTTTTTTCAGCAAATGCAAACGTTATCTTAAAAGCTCCGCTCCGGCTTTTAACGAGGAGCCACCCAAAATGAAAGAAACCAGGAAATACCCATACCAAAATACAGAGTCTTTAACAGAAAAGGCAAATTGCGACATTTGAATGGCCCCTAATTGTGCGTTCACATTTTCGCATTGCTCTAATCACTCTAATTGCATTGCTCTAATCGCATTGCTCTAATCGCTCTAATTGCTCCAGTTTCACCGTGGCTGTCAGCTGTGTTTACTGCGTTTTTCAAACAAGACGCGCTGGCGAGGGGACGTGGCTTATCTCAATGTAGATACTATGTAGATACCAACTACAACAAAATGAACATATTTTACAGTGATTTAATTGTAATACACGTTTCCATATCATGCCGAACTAACAACATACTGATACCGGTTTGTAAGAACCATGAATTAGTGCAGACAAGACTTTTAAAATGCGTGCTTTCTGAATGCTGAACGGATCGATCAGGCTAAGCTAACGTTGTAGCTGCTCCGTCCACACCCACAACAACGTCATACAGACAGAAATAACTCAAGGCTCATTGGCGTACACGATTAGCGTGGCCCCCGTCAATCGCGTCATTCATGTCATTTGCGCCGCCTGACCGAATTGCGTATATCCGCATTTACATTGACATAACATGTAATCCTACGAATTCCGTATCAGTCCGTGACGTCACAAGGCCCAGAAATACTTTTTCCCATTGACTAACATGGGGAAAGAGACGCCTGTAAATCAGTGGATGATTACTAAATAAACTACCCAGTATTAACTATGTCATAGCCCTTATTAGAATCATCCCTTAAAGTTGTAAAATGCACTAAAAGCCGAATCTAGATTGATTTTCTCTCTCCATTCATTCTAGTGAGCCGAGAGCGGGAGCCCGAGGGGCGGGGCTTCAACTGCGCATGCTCTACGAGCGTACATACGGGTACTTCTGCTCTGACAGCCAGGCATGACGGGGACATCTGTGACGTATTGCTCTAGAAAATCTCAGGCCATTTTGTCCTCATGCGCCAATGAGCAGCTCTCATAGGAAAGAACGAGACCCCGCCTCC